AGAAGGTCCCAAAACTGAGCAGGTCGACCCGATTGCAACCGATATGAGTGGGTCAAGGTCAACTGTCGGACGTGGGAGACTCTAATTTCAACATTGTTTTGTTAGGCCATGAATTTGGCCTTTTCCCCAAAAGCAATGCTCTCACGCTTCTCCTCCTTTTCTTTCGCATCATCATTATTATTGTTATTGTTATATTATAATTATTAGAGTATTATTAATTAATTAATAATAATAATTTTGGACAAGGCGCAAACCAAAAAGATTGTCTAATTAAATTCTATATACAAATCGAGCCTGGTATCCCTAATGTTTTCTTTTCCCATATAATGTAATGCTTCTTCATCTTGATATGAATTCCGCCGATCATCTCACCATGGACAATCCAGAGATGTAGGTAATCTCTGAAGCATGCCGATTAACTCCCAGGTATACTTTCTTTCTGCCTCCTGACTAATAATCTCTGATTGAATGGAACAAAAAAAATTAACTTTAGAATCATTCCGTTGGTTGATTTCAACAGCCATCCATCAGACACTAGTAGAAAAAAAGAGAAGAATTTGAGGCTTTTACAATGGAGACTACTAAATCTGCATCGTTGCCTGATCACTGTGGACCTAGCTTGCTTTTGGCTTTGCCTGATGATGTATTTACCGTGATCACGACTTCCCTCTCCCCGAGGGATGTATGCATTCTCGGACTTACCTGCCGAGGTCTTCATTCCATTGTGGCCTCTGACAAAGTATGGCTTGCCCAATGTGTTAAATTAGGGCTACTCCCCTGCAATACCTTACTTGAATGGAGAAAGGGTGTTTGCTCTTACAAGGCCATTTGCCGCTTCTTTTTGAGCATTCATCCATTGATCGGGATTTGGGTTCACCAAAATCCTGAGCTCGGCAATGTAGTCTACGTTATGCCTGGTTTTCTATCTCTTGCCGGGTGCCGAATAATCCCGCAAGAGGTGGGCCCTCTGGGCCTCGATGAAGGTCCTATTCTGTGGGCACCTGTGTTTGAAATCCTCTGTGATCATGAGGGGTCCACGTCCTTCTTTCTCCATGGGAGGGAAAGAGGGACCGATTATGTCTATCCTGGTACGCTGAAACCTGTGGGTAGATTGTGCAATGTGCTTTTGCTCGAGGTCGAGCCCAGGCATCAGAGGCATGGAGGAAAACTTTCCTATGGTAAGAGCCTCGAGCAGGAATTGGATAAGGAGATGCCACGGGGAATATCAAGATCGGACAGTGATGTTGGGGTTTCTAAGTTGCACAGAGATATTGGACAGAAAAGGAGTGGGATGTCTTTTAGCCGTTTGTGTTTTGCTGATAGGAGAAGGCTCCTGGATGTTGTGACCAGTCAAGTCAGACAAGTTGGGCCTGAGGCAGCAAACTCACTTATGTTTCCTCGAGTTAGAGATGGTGAGTTTGATTTGGAAAGGGATTTAGCGGCATTACATGAAAGGAGATTGTTGCTTTTGCAGATGTATCGTCGTGGTAGTGGGGATAATCAAGATTTGAAGCCTGGCACGGAATCCCCTTTAGGTCCTGGAGCTTTAGGATTAAGTGAAATTTGTAAGAGTCTTGATTGTAGTGATGAATCTCATGATCAGGACAATTACACCAAGGGAAAAACACTAACTGGGTTTCTAAAGAATGGTCTGAAGCAAATACTGTTGGGGAAATCGAGATCCACCCACGTAAACCGCAAAATTCAAAGAAGGAATGCTTCTGGTGGTGAGAGTAAACATGCACAACTGCATGAGTTTTTAAAATCAGGTGATACTATAGGGCTGAGCTTGCGTGCTACAACTATGAAGTTATCTTCCTACAGATCATGGCCGAATATGCATGACAGCCGATTTGCCCTTTATAAGTTGCCCTTATGGGCTCCAAAGCCAGGCCACGAGTACGCGGGACTATGGGGAGGTACTTTTGGCTGGCCTCCTGGCAAGCTATCTGAGGACAAGCCTGGAAAGGCTCTTTTCTTTATCTTGATCTCTTATGAAGAATCTGAAGAGCAGCAACTTCTAATTGCCACTAAGATCTTAGAAGGCACATCCTATGTATTGCATCCTAATGGATCTGCCATGTTCATAGTAAATATGGCTCAACCATCGATGGATAGATTCCCCTGGGGAACTGATGAAGGCTTCGATTGTACAGACGTTAAGCAGTCTTTTATGGGGGAAGGTATAGCAAACGGGTATGGGTTTAGGTATCCTGGTTCAAAACCTGGGACACTCTTTGTCATGGAGAATGGATTGCTCGTTTTCATCTGGAAGGAGTCTAGGGCTGTGTTGACCTTGCAGAGGCTTGACTTGGACTATAATTTAAGGAATGGTGAAAGGGTGCCTTCTTTGTCCCCGGTTTCCAACTTTGCATATCTGACCAAGACATACTCGAATGTTTTTTCTGGATTTTCAAATTCCTCAAATGCTCTGGCTTCAACAAGGTATCCTTGTCCTGTTCATTGAAAATGTATCTATGTAATTGTATGAGATTTCCTATTATCTCAACTTTTTGTTGCACACCACACACGTGAATATTCATCTATGCCATCTCTTTAAAACATGAAGCCTAAGTACATTGTCTGAAATGACAATAAATTATACTCTTTTCTTTTCTTCCCATTTTTAGATTTTGAATGAACATTTCTTGCCTGACTATGATAATACCAAGTTGCTGTGTATAATCCTTGCTGACCAGATCATTTTATACGATGCACTGTTAAACTTTAGATGCAATGCTGAGGAGAATTTTTCTGTTACAGCTGTTTGAAAGCTCTCAGAGTCCAATTTCTATGAAGCTATTTGCATTTGAAAAATCGAAGTATTTAAAAATTCCAGATGCATTACTTTGGAATAAAGATGGTACCCGTAACCAGTCAAAATTATACTAGGGGTTACAGAAATCCAAAAGAATAATATCTAGGGGTGTTCACTCGGTCGAAGCCGAACCGTACCGACCGAAATTTCATTTGTCCAAGATAAAGACCTAAAACCGAACAAAAATTTGTGGTTCGGTTGGGTTTCAAACCAACTTTAAATCGGTAGGATCTGTTCGGTTACAGGTTAGCCAGTAAAATGAAAAAATTAAAAAAATATGGCAAATTCTACGAGTCGTAAATTACAAAAATAAAAATAGCTAGATAATTAATAATTTCACTAAATAAACTAAAATGCATTAAAAAGAAGATAACTTGTCCAAAAATAGATGCCTATCATGTTTCATGCATATCACACTAGGGGGTTGGGTGGCGATTGATGTAATTCAAAATCGATTTTGATTGGATTTTGAGTTCAAGGGCGTTAGTTTAAAAAAAAAAAAATGATATAGTGAAAGAATGACTATGATTTTAAATTTGCATTTAAATAATATTAAAATGTAATGACTAATATTGATTTGATGTAAAAGTAGAAGAGAAGTCATTGGAAATAATCGATAATAAAAAATATGTGAGTGCATGAATAGTAAATTAAAGTTTATTTGATGTGTAGGTATGATTGATTGATATTATTTAATTATATTGATAATAATGAGGAGAGTTGGATCTAATTAAATTTGAGTTGGATTTTGATTTAAAGAATGTAAAAAAATTACCTATCGGTCAAAGTCGGTTTTAATCTTTAGCCAATCGCCCCCAAGTGTTCCAATTATATCAAGTATCATATATATACACATGATTTAAAAAAGGGAGTGTTGTGGGAGACGAGCATATTTTGGGAATTGTCGAATTGTGTGAACGGTTAAACTAGACTATCTTATTTTTTATTCTACTTTGATTATTTGTGTAGGAAAATAACATGGGCTTAGGGTAGCTAGTGATAATTTTTATATTTTCTTCTAAATTCTTTTGTATCAATGGGTTTGGTGTAGATAAGATATCATTCTATTGGGGATTGTATATTTATGTATAATATCAGCTTTCGATTTTGTTCGGTTCGGTTAACCGAATATTTATAACCAAACCGAACCGAAAACTAAATTTAAAAAAAAAAAATTAACAAACAAACAAACCTAAGCTGAACCAAATATTCGGTTTCGGTTTAAACTGAATTTTTGGTTTGGCTCGGTTAACCTTATTTTGTGTACCTCTAATAATATCTATATCTGTATGGGTATATATATAATTACTACTCTATCCTGAACCATTTAAGTAATTCATATATATACTGAGCATAATTAGCATATTGAATTGTTGCAGAATCCTTCACAGTTTTATACTTCTGGATTATTACTGATCTCGTTTGAAAGATCCAGGCAATGATTCTTTGGCAGTTGTGACATTCCCTTGATCCTGTGTTTTATTCTTCTGGTATAAACTACTGATGTCCTAACATTCTTATCTCACTTACTTTAAGTTGTAGGTTCCTTTTGACGTCTGGATCTTCATTAGTAGATTCTTAGATGTTGATGCTATCTTGTG